ATAATATTTAAAATTAAATTATAATGATTTAAATAGCTTTCTTTAAACTCTCTTATTTTAATTTTTCAATCACAAAATTTTTTTTACTAATTTTTCATTATTACATTTATTATATGTTATCCTGTTTAATTATCAAATTAATTCTTTCTATTATCCTGTAATCCACATTCTATTAACTTTATTCATTTAAATTACTTCAACACGTTCTTTCTCTTTTGCTAATATTCCAGATGTGATACAATATAAATCTCACATAGGTACAACATTTATACAAGTATATACATGTACATCTAGACCGAGCATATCATATATCAGATTGTCAAGCAGTTGCTTATTGGCGCACGCGAGAGAGAGCTAGAAATACAAATCATATTTTTTTCTCTTTTTAACAAGAAGATTTATTCTCTGTTCGTTATGTTTGTTTCTAACAGTGTAGATGAATTTTAATTTTAATTCAATTTACTTTTTATCTTTTTCTAGTTCTAAGAATTAGGAAAGTATAAAGTTCAAGTTAAACTAAGATAAAAGTTAATCTACTAGTCATCGGTAGAAATGGATATTAGAAAAAGAATAAAGATCTAAATTCTCTCTCTTTCTCTCTCTCTCTCTCTCTCTTGCGTGTCAGTTAAGTTCATGCTCGGTCTATTTACGTTATGTCATATGATAAACGATGTAGGACCATTTATCTATCCACACACATACGCGCGCGCGCGCGCATGATCTAAATTTTATTTAGAACGTAATTTATATTTTGTCTTCGTTTAAAAGTATTTATTTGTTGTGCCCACTAATATACATATAGAAATTTACTCGATTTCTACAGAAATGCAAGTTACTTTCGAAGAAAATTGAACATTTTCTTAACCTAACATTTTGCAAAGTCATAGTAGGTCACAAGATTTAAACAAAATATGATTTTGCAAATAACTTTGCATAGAGGAAGAAATTAATAAAAAACAGAAAACCAAAAAGTAAACGTGGCATATTTCTGTACATTTTTTTGACTCATTTTGAAAAAGCGCTTTATTTTAGCGATTACTTTAGAAAGTGTGTGTGTGTGTGTGCGTGTGTGTGCGTGTGCGTGCGTGCGTGCGTGCGTGCGTGCGTGCGTGCGTGCGTGCGTGTGAGAGAGAGAGAGAGAGAGAGAGAGAGAGAGAGAGAGAGAGAGAATACATTGCGCGTTTATTCTAGCAATACACATGACTGTTCGTTATTTTTTTTTATGCAATATATAAAAGTATATGACAAAAAATTGATTAAAAATAGATATTTAAATATTTATAATATTATGTAAAAATAGGATTATAGGAACGCGAAACATTTTCAATTATTAAAGTACATACTATGTTTGAATGACGATGACGGTTACGATGTTCAGAAAAGAAAAAATAAATTAAAATAAACTGTTTATACATATATGTGTTTTAATGAACGGCTACTATTTGAAATTATTACGTTGATTTATTAATTATCTGACATTTTTAAATTCTATGAGCTGCTTCTGTCTACTTATTGTAAAGACTCTCAAAAATTAGAGTAACGACATAAATTTGGTTGGCGATGACATTTTTCAGTAAAAATATATGATAGTATATACAGTCGTATAATACAGTCGTATTACATCAAGGCTGTGTTCGAAAATGTTACCCGTATGTCCGCATGTACTATCTTATATTCTTATACTCGTTTAACATTGAGCGAACAGCAAGGATAAAATGATACACAAAGCATGTAATGTTTCCGAACGCACTCCTATTATATGTATTGTATATTAATATAATAGTTTGCTGAAAAATGGCAGAACTAATCAAGTAACTGTAGATGTTATTCCATTTTATTTTTCAATTATAATATTTAAACAATTTGCAATTGATAAAATAGATTTATGCAATATATATAAATAGATAGACTAACTAAGTTGAAAAGTCCTCTATTATTTTGTAATTTTCATAATATTTAACGAGAATTAATTTCTAAATATTGCCGATATCGTGCCGCATGGTCTACAAGTGCATACAAGTGTATGGCGATTAGATCAGATAAAACAGCCATCATCGTAGATTGTTAAGCTCAAGGGGAATTGTTTACTTGTGACGATGCACCCCCCACGTATCGTCCACGGCCTTAACAACCGGCCGGACGCCGCTGCACCGTCACGCGGTGCAGCGATGAGAGCGCATAGTGCCCGACAAACTAATAAAGCATAATTCACAGGGACAAGCGACAGCAACCGATACCGAGAACCGCCGAATCCCGCCGAACTCGCTCAACGCGCGGAGTTCCCCACCACTCGACGATTTCAGATGCTGCGAAACGTCGAAGCGACGAGAAAGCGCGAGGCGAGCCGGAACAATACGAGCGCGACAAATGTTTCAACATAAAACGTCGCGCTCACGAAAAATAGACACATTCCGCTTCCAGCTCCGATCTGAATCTTATCTCCGAAATCCGATATAGCTTACCAGCGACAAGAAAACCGAGTTAGAGAGTGCTCTAGCCCGATCGAGGTTTCTCGATAGCTCGCTTCTTCTTCTTCTTCTAAATTTGAGTGGCCCAGGTTCCGTTCAAAACCGGATTATCGTGGCCAGTCTAACCCACAAGATGTCCGCTGGTAGAAAATAAAGCGGTAGAGATTTCGGAGTCGATGTGTGGAAACTGAAACAGACTCAAAAAGGGCGCCGCGCGCGCCCCCCATCGGATCCCCGCAAAACTAGTTCGTGAGGAGGCGACGGGGGGGGAACGGGAAAGATGGGGGAAGGTGTAACGCTCCCCCCCAACATGCGACACTCATACGGAAATCTCGATGGCCTTGAAAAAGGACAATAGCAGTCTGCACAAGCTATGAGAGGGTTTAGCAAGGGAGGGAAAAATGTTATGGTTGTGAGAGGGGAATTTTTTACTAATGTAGCGCATCAGAGGACCAGCCTTGCTTCTAGTCAGAGGGCAATGAAATATAATATGATTTAGATCCTGACAGGAGTCACCGCAGTCGCAAGCAGGAGACAAGACCATGTTTTTTCTATAAAGGCTATAATTGAGATTATAATGATTAGACCTGAGTCTATTAACCAAGACAATTTCACTCCTATTTAGGGCTAGCTTAAAGTACCACGGTTTTGTATTCAGGGTCGAAGAATAAAGCGAATGGTATTGAGTGCCAGTTAAAGTAGCTTTTTCTTTCAAATAAGCTTGAAAGCGAGTGCGGACCTTGGCAACCGCTTGTATTTGTAAATCTGAATAGGGAGTACGGTAATATCCTCTAACTCCATCCCTACAAGCCTCCTTTGCTGCCCTATCTGCCACTTCATTTCCCAGAATGCCTCTGTGGGAGGGGATCCAAAAAAGACAGCAATTAATGTTCCGTTCCTCCAGCTGCAACAATATCGCCTTTATTTTGTGAATGATGTAGTTATCGTTAATCAATCTGTATGATGCGAGTGCTTCTAAGACACTGCGAGAGTCGGAAAAAATAAATAATTTAGAGTATCCTGCGTCCAGAGATAAAATTAAAGCCTGGTATATTGCCTAGGCTTCCGCAGAAAAAACTGATGAGCTGTCAGTTAATTTATACTTAAAACAATGCCCGAGTTGTGGGGAGTAAAAGGCCGCACCTGCACAGCCATCCTCTGTAATTTTTGAGCCGTCGGTATAATAGACGATCCCATCCGGGTCCAGCTCCTGTAATTTGCTCATAAAGCTTTGAGAAATCTCGTTATTGTCGCTGTCTTTGGAATATGTTATAAAATCTTCAAACTCCTTGCGGAAAAGAAAAACTCTCAGATTATTCTCCAGAGCCGGAATGAAGTATGATCTATACATGCGAGACTTTTCGTGCTTATTAGCGATATAGCATCTCAGTGAGGAAGACTTGGCGAGGGCAAAAGCTTTTTTCGCCGGGGAAGTCAGACTATATTCAAGATCTTCAATACTGTCCATAACCAGTGAATTTCTTTTAGACATACGATTAACGATAAATTTTTCGCTAAGGAGGCTGAATCTAAGCTTGAGTGGGAGCTCTCTTGCTTCGCATAACATTACGTTGATAGGTGTGGACACGCGATATCCCATAGAAGCTCTGATGGCTTTATACTGCTGTCTTTCCAGCTGTACTAATATTCTAGCGTTACCTTTTCCAAAGAAAATGTAACAGGCATATTCCACAGCTGCTCTGAAAACTGCTCTATAGATAGTAAGCAGGCATTGAGGGTGGGAGCCCCACCATACTGCAGTTAGAGCTAGAATTATGTTAATCAACGCTTTCCCTTTTTTAATAAGATACTCAAAATGGTAAGTACCTTTCAAACGACAGTCCAAAATTACTCCTAAAAATCTGACTTTATTTACCCTAGGTATCAGACATGCATCAATATAAAGAGACCGGTCAGGGATGGGTATACTCCTCTGAGCAGAGAAAATCATCCAATTTGATTTAGAAGGGGAGAGGCTGAGGCCCTTACCTTCCAAAAATGATGAGACATCAATTAAGACCCTTTGTAGTTTGTTTGCTGCCGCTGCTGGATTGCGGTCCGTAATGAATAGCACTATGTCGTCTGCATATTGTAGAAATTTAACGCCCTCTTTTATGCAGGTATTGAGTTTGCATAATGCAATATTGAATAAGAGCGGACTTAGTGTGGAGCCTTGAGGAGTGCCTTTTCGTGATAATCTTACTTCTCCCAGCAATCCTTCGACTAAGAAATGTAATGATCTTTCCCTGATGAGATTTTCCACTAGTTTTCTGACCGTGGCGGGAACACCCGCAAGCTTGAGTTCATCTAGTACGGCCACGGGTAGAACATTGTCAAAGGCTCCTGTGATATCCAGGAATACTGCAACAAGGTAGTCATTATTTGCCAGTGCCAGACAAATCTGGTTCGTAAAGGAAACCAAACTGTCGTTACAGGATCTACTGGGACGGAAGCCCATTTGCTCATTGGGAAGAATAGACTGCGATTCCACGAGCCACATAATTCTCCAATATATTATTTTCTCAAAGACCTTCAACACGCAGGAGAGAAGAGAAATAGACCTGACACCAGACAACCCAGCTTTGGGATGAAAATCACTAGTGACGTCTTCCACTCTCCCGGAACTACGCCCTCGGATAAAAAACGGTTGAAGAGATCCACCATTAGCTCCTTAAAGTTGTACGGTAAGTGTGCCAGCATGCTGTTGGAGATTCTATCTAGGCCAGGAGCCGACTTCTTGTTAGCAGTTGCAATTGCCATATCCAAATGTTCCACATTGACTGGAGCTCCAAGTTCTTTAAAAACCTGATTTGACGATTCGTCCTCTTTATTCATGTCCTCGAGATTAGATGGAAAATTTGATAAGCACGATGGTGGACACAGTTTTTGAATGGCCTCCGTGGACAATTGTCTCTCTTTGGCGTGATCCATACCCACGCTTACCGTGGCTAGATTGCGTCTTTTAAAGGCCTTAACCAGTGACCATAACTCCGCAGTGGGCGTTTTATCGTTAAAAGTTCCCACGAATTTTCTCCAACTCTTCCTTTTTTCCCTGTAAAGAATTTTTGCACACTTAGCTCTCTCCCTCTTGAACGAATAAAAATTTTCAATAGTGGGATTTCTCTGCCATGTTCTGGCAGCCGTTTTTCGAGCATCGATAGCCTCTTGACAGGTGTTTGACCACCAGGGAGGAGCAGCTTTATCATTCTTAATCACTATGGTGCCAGGATGTGCTTTTTTATGAGGAGAGGAAGAACACGCCACCGCCGTCTCCACCAGATGATTTGATAGACGTGTATAAGCTTCACAGGGGTCCTGCGGCTGTTCTTCGGAAAATGAAGTATATGAGTCGGACAATGCGCAGGAAAAGTTCCGCAATTCTTCAGGATTAAGATTTAACTTGTAAACGAATCGTTTGCGACGAAACGGATCAATGCCCAGCTTAATCGTTATAGGAAAATGGTCGCTGCCCCATGTATCTTCTTCGGTAGATACCTTGCACAAAGGAGAGATGTTTGGCGTAACAAAGACTAAGTCGATAATAGAAGGTCTCGCAGATGGTGGGAGGAGAAGTGTAGGCATTTGGTCACTAAATATGCAAATGCGATAATCCTCGCACGCAGACATAATGCGTTTACCCGCACGATCGGAAACGTGGCAGCCCCACTGTGAGTGGTGGGCGTTGAAATCTCCCATTAGAACGCAGCTGTCTCTTGATATCAAATAACCCATAAGGTCTTCGTAAAACTTTTCAGGCGTATCTCGGTTTGGATGTCTGTATACGTTAACGATGCTAATTTTTTCTTGATTGGAGAGAAGCTCCACACCCAATATTTCCACAGATTCCTCCTTGAGGCTGGTGTTGGATAGGTCTAAAATATTAAAAACCAAGTTATTCCTGATAAGAATACACACGCCGCGTTGACCGGCCTCAGTGATATCTTGTCTGACAATATTGAATCCACGTAGGATGAAATTAGATGAAACATGCAGAAGAGATTCCTGCAAGCAGATAACGTCATAATCTCCGGCGATTGCTTGTAATTGTGGCAATTTATTCCGCACTCCACGACAATTCCATTGCAGAAGGTTCAGAGATTGCGATGTAAGCTGTTTATTGGCGGTGAATTCTGCTCGAGTATTCCGAGTTTCCAGTGGAGACATTAGAAAAGCTTGATCCCGTGGCGGTGATAAGATTAATAAGAAAGTCTAAATTGAACCCCTCAATTAGATTAATCAATTTAATTACGGACTCAGCCAAAGGGTCGACAATCGCGGAGATGAAAGGACTATTGTTAAACAAACTTTTAATCTTTCCCATAAAGGATAAAATCATATCCGCAATGTTGCGTATTGTATTAGAAGCGGAACTGGGGCCGGGATCCGAGCCCCTTGCGGCACCCGCATCCGAGCTTGAGCTTGATTTCGGATAAACGTCACTTGACGAAGAGGAGAAGTCTTCACGCATACGGCCATTATTACCGTGTGTAAACGCTAAGGTTGGATGTGCAGGGGGCGTAGCCGAAAACTGGCCACCCATGGACGGCAGAAGCCTTTCAAAGGATTCACTAGAGGAGTCCGTGCGTAGGAACGGATTATGGCGGAAACTTACAGACTTGTTCTTCTTCGAACTGTCATGTGATCGTCTCGAAGCATTCGGAGACGGAAGGGAAGTCGAGGCCGCCATAGCTGCATAACTATTTGATGAGAAGG